GGTTTCAGGAGCTGACCTAGTACTGCCAGCCAGAGTGTGATGTTGCTATGAGCTGGCCTGACACTCACAGACCGGTCTCCTTGGTGACTTACCTACTCAGTGCCATCCCAGTAAAACCCCAGCAGCCCTTTGGTAGAAACTGACAGACTGTACAATGCATATGGAACTGCAAAGGACCTAGATTAGCCAAAACAGCTTCGAAAAAGAAGAGCAAAGTTGGAGACTACCTGGCTTATGGTAAAGCTACAGTAACCAAGACAGTGGGGGTATTGATGTCAAGACAGGCAACTGAATCAATATAACAAAATAGACAGGACAGAAGTAGCATTATGACCAATTGACTTTCTACAATGCTTCAGGGGCAATTCCATGAAAAATGGGTAGACTTTTCAACAAATGGTGCTAAAACAATTGGATATTCACATGTGAACAAACTTCTTTCATTGATACTTCTAGCCACATATTAGTAATCTAATCCTGCAGAGTCCAATTACCCACAAATTTAGCAGCATCTACCTCTGGTCTCTATTTCCAGAAATGCATCTCCAGTCTCCCTTTTGGGCTTTTCCTTCCCTGGCAAAGTCAAATGAGTGATTCTCAAATTTGTATATGAGGAAAAGGGGACTAGCTTTCTGCTCATCCAGCCACATTCTCCTACTTTCCTTCTGGACAATATATGTCCAATAAGAGGAGATCCTTGGCTTTGCAAATGTTCATGGTGCCACACCTCCTTCCCAGCAATCCTATACAATAAAAGGCTAATATTCAAATCGACCAAACAGTAGAATGACTGGTCGCTATGATGCACACTGACCACCAGGGGGCAGACGCTCAATGCAGGAGCTGCCCCCTGGTGCTCAGTGCACTCCCACAGGGGGAGTGCCACTCAGCCAGAAGCCAGGCTCATGGCTGGCGAGCACAGAGGAGGGCTCCTGACTGTGAGAGGGCACAGGCCAGGCTGAGGGACCACCCCCAAGTGCATGAATTTCATGCATCAGGCCTCTAGATACTAGTAATAATAGCAGGTATCAATAATTGGCATGTCTCTGGTGCAGAGCTGGAAAATTTTTCCATGCTATTTCATGTGATCTGCACAGCAAGGCTATGTGTGGGGTGCATTTCCATTTGCTTCCTGGGCAAAACTTCTTACTGGGGCACCGAGCCTCAGAGAGCTGAAGTGACCTGACTAAGGGGGTATTGCGACTCAGTGGCAGGCCTGGGACCGACTCCAGGCTCCCCACCCGTGTCCTTGAGTTTGAGTTTGATCCCTTTGAGTTTCAGTTGCCTTGTGTACAAAATGGTGGGGACAACACCGTCCCCACAGGACTGGTGTGGAGAGGCCGGGCATGTAAGCTGTGCTGCCTCAGCAATCTCGGGCCCCTTTACTTCCCTGACCAAGGCCCTTTCTGGAATGCTTTTCCTTTGTAGATTTCTTCATGCTCATCAAGGTTGGGAATGATCTTCTCCAAATTATGTATGGGAAACTGTTTCCAGAGTGCTTACATCCCTGGAGAGACAGAAGATGGATGTGAGGATAAATGATTAGCTATAAGAGTAGAAGAGATGGGCAGAGACAGCCAAAGGTCAGGAGAAGCCCGACTCACTGGGACAGTTTTGGTATTGGCAAGGTCTTGAGGTGCACATGTGTGTTTTCCTGGCACCTGGCATGCAGCACCTGGCACACAGCACCTGGCACACAGCACCTGGCACACAGCACCTGGCATGTGCTGGTTGACCTGAACTGAACCTCTGAGTCTGGAGCTCAAGAAAAACACCAGAGTCTCATGTAGCCTGAGCTCCCCAACCCTTGCCCTGAGGACCAACCTGAAGGTCCGAGAGCAGGCAGACAGCATTTGCTAAGGGAGAAAATGGGTGCCCAGAGTAGACATACTGGTACATCCTTGGTTAGTGTGCCCTCTAATGGGGACCATGTCATATCCCCCAACTCCAAGCACTTCCCAAATGTTCTCTCCCTGGCTCTGAAATCTGCCCTCTGGGGCATGTCCCACTCAGGTTCACACCCCATCTCAGGCACATAGCCTGAACTTCCCTGTCTCATGGCTGGCTCTTGCTCTTGGCTCACTAAGCAGCAGACCCTCTCTGATTCCAGGGTCCGGGGGGACACCTGCTCCTCTGAGCCTAGTCCTGTTTCCTGTCAGCTGCCCAGGCACTCTCTGGGCCGTGGAGACGCTACAGGCCTGCAGATCACACCTGCAGTCCCTGAGCTCAGGTATCCAAAGGCAATATCCTGAAGGAATTTTCTCCCCTGCTTGTTTGGAGGACATATGCATCTGCTTAAAGCAAGCAACTTTACACACGCCTTCCTTTCTCATCCCCCATGCTGGCCAAGGGGCTGAGAGACCACATTCTCATCCTGTGGGAGGGAGTTTCAATGGATTCGAATTTCCACAGGCCAAATTGGACCTAAATGTACATCACTTTTGACCCAGCAATTCCTTTTCTAGGAATTTATCCTGAGAAAATAATTAGGCAAATGTAGAAAGACATATTGTACAGGATGGTTCATCAGAAGATTGTTCAAAGGGAGTAAAATTCCAACAATAAGGAATAGTTCAGGTGAATAAACTATATAACATCAATAAATTGGAATCCAATTAATTATAAGAAACAATGGTGTAGATACCTAGAATTATCATAATAAGTGAAAAGTAGTGACAAAAGTATGCAATGGTAACAGGCAGCATTTATTGGGTGCTTATGATATGCCAAGCACTATTCTAAGAACCTCACAGATGTTAACTTGCTTAACATCACACCAACCCCAGTTAGGAAGGAACTGTCACTGTCCCCATTTTACAGGGGTTTGAAGGGATTCTATGACTTGCCCAAGGCACACACTCAGTGGCTGAGCACATTCTGCATCTCAGAACAGGGGCCTATTTAAGAACAAAACAAAATAAATGGTGTGTGTGGGTGTAAGAAAATCTGGAAGGACTAGACTAAAAGTATTAACCGAGGAATAATGTATTATAGGATGCTATCTTTTTTTAAGTTATATGTACTGCTGTTCTTCATTTCATTAGACGAAATTTTACCCTGTCATGTTAGAGTTCATTCTGCCAGTTCTACTCATGACCCGTGCTCAGGAAGAGATGAAGAGTTTAACTCTCTCAGGTAGTGGGTCAGGGGTCATCGGAGTTAATGTTGATAAAGGATCAAGAAGGGTCATCTCTATTTCTTTGTTTCAGTCCACGCTGCTCAGGAACTCACTTAGTCTTTCTGAATATTCAAATGTTCAGAATTCTCTACATCAGTGATGGCGAACCTATGACATGCGGGTCAGAGGTGACACGCGAACTCGTTTTTTTGGTTGATTTTTCTTTGTTAAATGGCATTTAAATATATAAAATAAATATCAAAAATATAAGTCTTTGTTTTACTATGGTTGCAAATATCAAAAAATTTCTATATGTGACACGGCACCAGAGTTAAGTTAGGGCTTTTCAAAATGCTGACACGCGAGCTCAAAAGGTTTGCCATCACTGCTCTTCATGTTAAAGATATATTTAAAAATACAAAAGCCCCAGCCCTGGCCAGGTGACTCGGTTGGAGTGTCATCCCATACACCAAACAAAAAAAAAGGTTGCAGGTTTGATTCTCGGTCAGGGCACATATCTAGGTTATGGATTCCATTCTCAGTTGGGGCATGTAAGGGAGGCAGCCAATCAATGTTTCTTCCTCATATCAATGTTTCTCTTTCTCTCTCCCCTTTCCTCCCCTCCCTAAAATAAATAAATAAATAAATAAATAAATAAATAAACATATCCTAGGATGAGGATAAAAAAAATACAAAGGCCCCAGATAGAGACCACCTTTAATGCTGTGAATGATCCATGGTATTCTTTGAATGTAAAATTACCCATTAAAATTTTCCCTTTTTTCTTTCTTGTTTTAGGAGAGAGGAGGGAATGTGGTGGTGCTCACGGAGCAGCTTTCATTCCTGCCTCGCTCCCATTAAAGCTCCCATTCCTTCCTGCATTGCATTTCATTTAGAAATGGCTGTCCGACCAGCTTCTCTAGAGCCTGGGGCTCGCAGTTCCCTCTGCCACTCCAAGTCCAGCTTCTCTCTCCTGTTCCCAAGGGCTGCCGTTGTCTGAGATGCTCCTTTTCTCGGCGTGGTTTCTCGCCACTGGGACATCCCCATGAGGGGACCAGGAGGCAGCAGAGCCTTAAAATAAACCTGCAGGATGAAGCAATTGCTCCCGCGCTCAGCGCCCGGCCAGTGCCTCTGTGTGAACACCGCGTTCGGCACTCACATCAGCCGTCCGGGGAGGAGTGCTCATCCCAGGTTCTTAGAAGAGGAAGCTCTGGTGACTGCCCAAGGTCCCACAATCATAATTTAAAGGCACATTTTCCTTTTTACACTATCCTGATTCACAGGGATTTACACATCGAGGCTCCTTTGCTTTATTTCTTCGGTGCTTTAGTTTTTTGAAGTAGGGAAGGGCAGAGGGGCATCGGGCAAAAGGGAGGGTGACCATTTGCAACGGCATGGATGGAACTGGAGAGCATTATGCTAAGTGAAATAAGCCAGTCAATGAAGGAAAAATACCACATGATCTCACTCATTCATGGATAATAGGGACCATTATAAACTTTTGAACAATAATAGATACAGAGGCAGAGCTGCCTCAAACAGATGGTCAAACTGCAACGGGAAGGCCAGGGAGGATGTAAAGGACACTAGCTCACAAAGCAAAAATAAATAAATAAATAAATAAATTAAAAACTACTTTTGTATTTTATAACCATGTATCTTATTCTTTTCAGAAAGAGAGTTAACTAGTTAAGTTTCAGAGTTTAAAGATACACATACACACACACACCATACAACACACACACACACACACACCTTATAAGTGCTTCTATGGATTATGCTAATTGAAAGCTCACCATGCCCTGACCTTAACACCCACTTCAGAGTCTGATTCCGTTCTCGACCCCTTGTCCATGGTCATGGGTGAAACACAGAGACAACATCAGTAGAACAAAATATATGGCATTTATTAAACAGATGTGACACGGGTAATTATAATATCAGAGTAGAGCATGCATGGACAAATTACTCATTCGTTTAACAAAAACACCAATCAATACTGAAAACATGACATGATTAAATTTCCACAACATACAAAATTCTCTTTCAGTTAAAATGAGAAAGAAAAAAAAAAATCACAGGTTGAATAAATACAGTGATTTCAGCTGGCTCCACGGAGGCATAAGGCACAGATTGAACGAAGGGATCGGCAGGTCAGAAGGAAGCGTGTCTGCCCACATGAGGACCATCTCCAAGGTTCCCCAACGCTGCACACACCGAGAGGAGCCCGCACTTGTGCTGGGAACAATCCACCCCCCTGCCCCCACCCCTGTCAAGTTCCCCCGTGCCCATGCTCTTGTGGCAGGCTTCTCTGCTCCAGAGAAATACTGCCTCTAATACTTTTACGGGTAAACAAAGCCTTCATGCGTAACAAATGGTCCTGGCCAGATTAACATGAAATTTCAAATGAATGCCCTTTTTCCTCCCAACTGAAGTCTAGTAAAACAAAATAGACTGTGAGGGAATTCTTCTGACAGGACTTAAGCGTATACATGGAAAACTAACAATGGCCCGGGACAGCGGAATAGGCTGGTTGGGTGTTTGAAATATGACCTTGTAAACCTCTCTCCTGCCCTCCCCCTCCGCCTCCACTTTCCTTCACATCTTATGAAATGGATCAGAACCGCAGCAATTTCCATTCTGGCTTAAACTGCATAGGCGAAGAAGCAACAGTCACCCTTTCCAGACTTCAAGCCGCCGGGTCCCAGGGCCTTTGTCCATCTGTAAAGAGTGCATGTCTCTGAGGGCCTAAGTCAGAGTTTTCTTCATGGTTAACTCCAGGACACGTGCGTATGGGGCATAGTTCCTGGAAGGCATTGCGGAGACTTCACGGGTCCGATGTGCTTCGCTGAGAAATGAGAAAAGGCTGGTCAGGAAGATGAAACAAAACTCTCCGTGCTCTTGGGTAAGTCAACTCTAGGAAATGGCTTTTCGACACTTAAAAACAGACTGTAATAATGCAGCTGAATATTTCATTTAAATGTTACAAAAGGGACCATTATTTGTAGCAAATTGTACAGGCGGAGCACATGCAAGGCATCCATGATTCAGAAAAATATAAAACATGCACTGAAGGAATTCCGAATTTGGTGGGAAAGACCCGTACATAAGTCATGTTAAGATGATGTATTGGGCACGACTATCATAGAGACGTAAAGAGCTGAGCTGGATATTCTCCATTTGCCCACCCAGATCTACTCCCCCCTTTCTCCCTCACTCTCCGCCCTGGGGAGCTGACCCGAAGGTCAGCATCAGTGGACTCCCTCACCGCTCATTGGGTCATTTGGCCAATTGGGACCTGATAGCGGGAGATGAGAAAACAGGACAGAGGTCAGAACATCTGTTCCCTCCTGGCCAGGCGGCAGGTGGCAGGTGGCAGGGGGCCATCCTCCGCTGGCAAAGGCCACAGGTACAGCCCCACCCTCTGTCTCCTCCGCTGGCTTTCACCCCTGCCTCTTGAGGCCCAGCCTCTGCCACTGTCCTTTGCTTATTTTCCCTAAAGGTGTCCAAATCTTTACAAACAGTCCCTTCATTTAAGTTTCTCCAATAGTCCCTTCCAGCCAGGACCCCGAGAAATTAATATATTATGGAAAAACTAAAGGCAGAATGAGCTAGCATCACTAGGAGGGCATCTGGAAATCCGCTCAGGGAAGGTGAATCTTGGAGGATTCGCAGGCATCCCTCACGTGGGCAAGGAGGGGATGGAAATTCCAGACAGAAGAAACCATATGCGCCAAGGCAAGGAAGGGCGAACACGAAGGCCGCAGGTGCGGAAGGGGACACACTTGGTTCAACTGGAGCAAAGACTTCAAAATGGAAAGCGGGCAAAGCCGGGACGTGGTGGAGCAGGGCCCTTGGTGCTCTCCTAAGGAGTTCGGAGGGGACAGAGAGTCCCAAAGGCTTTCAAGGGATTTGGGAGGATGATATGCTCATATTTTTATTCCAGCAAGATACCTTGGTACTGCTGAGGGCTGGCTGCTGAGGGGTCAGTCTGGAGGCAGAAGTTAGTTGGGAGATTTTTGCTATTTAGGATGTGATCAGGAGAATGAATTCTAACAGTAGCACTGGAGGTAAAGTAGCAAGGAAATGTTAGGAAGATATGCGGGAAGTAGATTTAATAGGATTTAGTGACTAAGATGGAGCCATATCTCATATTTTTTCCTCCTGGATACATAATACAACTACATTTCCCAGCCTCCCTGGCAATTCGGTGGGCCGTGTAACTAAATGAGCAGAAATCATTTACAGTTGACCCTTGCAGAACATGGATTTGAACTGTGCAGGTCCACTCATAAGAGGATTACATGGATTTTAAAGATCTGCATGTAAGCGGGCCCACACAGTTCAAACCTGTGTTCTTCAAGGGTCAATGGTATTTTCAGTCTGCAGTTGGAACTCCATGTACGCTAAAGGCCTACTTATCATAGTCAAATTTTTGATTGCATGGGGGCTGGTGCTCCTAATTCCTGCACTATTCAGTAGTCAACTGTATATTGCTTCCAGGTTTAGCCTATAAAAACCTTCTACATAATTCTCTGATTTCTCTCTTTCCTTTCATGCAGCGGATACAATAGAGGACCCACGAGGACCCCAAAGCCCAGGCAGAGTCACTAGACAGGAGAATCCTGGGCTCCTGGATGGTGTGTGGAGCGAGGCCCATGCCAACCTGCCTTAGATTGTGGTGAGAAATCAACCTTTACTGTGCTCAGCCCCCAACATCTCTGGGCTGTTTGTTACAGCTGCTACATTTCTTATCCTGACTGTTGCAATGACCAATTATGTATATGAGATATAAGTCTCAACTCTCTTTCCCCTAACTTTCCATGTCCAATTACGCACCAAGTGGTATGGAATTGAAAGTACTGTTTTGTGATCTCTCTTCTCTATCCCCCCAACCACTGCCTTAGTTCAGGCTCTCATACTTTATCTTTGCATTTTGGAACAGTGTTCTAAATGGTCTCCCTGACTCCACCTCCCCGAATTTATTATCCATTTGCTGTCAAGGACATCTTCCTAAAAAGACAACAGAGCACATTACTGTTGTTATAATTCTCCAGAGTCTCCCTAATACTTCCTGGGTGAAGTCCAACTCCTCTGTCCTGTCTTAAGGCCCTCCACCATCTCCTGTTTCATCTCCTGGCTGGCTTTGCAAACCAGCACACAATTCTCACCATTCACTGCACTGCTGCCCACTCCCTGCAACCTCATGCTGTCCGCTCCGCCTTGAGTGCTTCCCTAATCAGATCGATCTGATGAATTCCTGCCTGTATTTCAAGACTCAAACCAGGCAGCACCTCCCATAGGACAATTTCCCTGACTCCCCCCACCAGTGATAGAAATGATCCTTCCTTCCTTTATCCGTTCACAGTTCCCTTGAGCAGCGCTGCTCAATTCCCTGCTTCCCAAGGGTTCACTTCTGCTAAACTTTCCCAACACTAACACCTCCCACTACCTTGCAGTGATTTTCAACTAAAGAGTAGTAGGGAGACAGTTTCTTAATGAAGTCTATTAGAAGCTTGGGGCGGGAGGGGATTTTAAACTTCGAATGTCTCTCCCCAATTGATTCAATATGTCCTTTCCAAGCCCTCTGCCTTACCCTCCCCATAACACCCTGAAAAGGCCTGTCACACAGGCTTCCGACACACCACTGGGAGCACCTCATTGCACCCCCTGGTCTATGCATTTGTCTCCTCTGCTGGGTGTCAGTTCTTGAAAACTGCATCTCACTCATCTTCATGGCCCCAGAAGCTCACTCAGGCCAGGCACAGAGCCCTCACTCCACACACAGGTGACAGAGGGAACCAGAGGACCAAGGATGTTGAGAAGGATGCTCAGAGTGTCACCTGCCACACAGAGGAAGCCACAGGATCTGGCAACCCCGGAGTCCGCAGTGACCTCCCCAGGCAGGTTCGTGGAGTGCCAGGGGCAGAAGTCAGATGGCAATTTTTGCCAACCACTGTGAAAATTCCCCGTAACAGAAATGGTCTCCGGTGACAATATTCTAAAAGCCCATAAAGTGCAGAAATATTTATGAAGGTGGACCTTCCGGGCTTCAGAAACAGGCTCATACAGCCCAACCAAAAAGAGTGAGGTATTTTACTCAGTTGATCACTGGGAAACAATAAGATTTAAGAACACAAATAATTTTTTCAACCATATAACTGAAATTGGACCATTTTCTTTAAAACATTAAGGCTATTGTTAACCATTTATAAATCCATAAAGAGGAAATTCCCCTGGGGGAATGATAGCAGAATCAGCAACTAAAGCTTTGACAAAAGCTACTTTGTATTCTGGTCTCTGCAACAGAAATTTGAAAATGTAGGCATTTTAAAGTGCTTACTGTGTGCTCGGCACTTAGGACCACAGGGAATATTTTTCATTAAATTGTACCTATTAAGACATAATTTATGAGTTTGCTGGAAACCAGGTTTTACTTGGGGCAGGAGTAAGAGGCCTCTTTTCTTTTGTTACTTTTGTTTTCACTTTTCTCTGTGAACTAAGGTTAGCTGACCTGAAATTGCTCTCCATGGCTTTAATTAGCATACGTCAAACCTTTCAAATAAAGCGTTCAATCTTTTATTTTAAAAATAAGAGTTTAAAAGCCCCTGAAGTCACACTGAGTGCCTTCTCACTTCTTCCCCTTCTCCTTGCTCCATGAAGAGACCCTTGCTGTCCAGGAATGTGTGTAGCAGAGATTTAGAGGAAGGAGGGGAAGGATTTGAAGAGAAGAGCCTGGAGGTTGAGAGATTAGACATGACACTAACTAACCTCAGGCAGTGGGAAAAGAAAGATATGAAGCAAGTCACGAAGGGAAAAGGCAGCACTATGTGAGCGAGTGAGTCTAGGTCCTCTAGGAGCAAACAATCGTGTCTCAGAGGCGACTGCAGTATACTGAGCTTAGGTAACTGGGAAAGCAGTGGCAGCAAAAGAAAATACGCAAATGTGGTCACTGCACGGGGGACCCTATGTCGGTGACTCATCTCAGCAAGCTTCTGAGGGAATTACTATCTTGCTATTCTAGGTGAGAAAACGGACTTGCAAGGCTGTGGATGTAGCCAGAGGACGCAGGTCCAGGACCCAAACCCAGAGTTAACCTCCTGCAAGTATTCAACTACCACTGAGAGAAACCGACTTTGGTAGCGAGAATGACTGGCTCAGTGATGGATCTCGTGGTATGAAGATCAAGCAGACATGAGCTGGGAGCGTCCAGCAAGCAGAAGGAAACGAAGACTTGTACGCAAGACAGAGAGATTCAACTACTTCATGGCTCAGCCACAGGGTAAAGCCAGGAGACTGGATGCCATCTTTGTAGAAACTACTGTAACCAAGCTAGAACCATGAGGAGTTCCTACAGTGAGATCTTAGAGGAAAAAGAGGATCCATCAAAAAACATGAAGGACAGGCCAGGAAGGGAGGAGAGAACCAAGAAAGGAAAGTCCTGTAAGGGTAAGAAACAGACACTCTTCTGCTAAGGAGGACTATCAAATGCTAGAGAGGGATGGCTCCAACCAACAGATATAAGTGCCTATTATGTGTGAAGTACTATTCTGCTAGTAACTAAGTCCCAGAGAGACTGCAGTTAGTGAAATGGATGAAAATCCCTGCCCTCATGAAGCTTACATTCTAGTGGGGGGAGAGAGATAATAAAAACAAAGAGGTAAAATATAAGCAAGAGATGTTTTTCTGCCCTAACCGGTTTGGCTCAGTGGATAGAGCGTCACCCTGCGGACTCAAGGGTCCCAGGTTCGATTCCGGTCAAGGGCATGTACCTTGGTTGCGGGCACATCCCCAGTAGGGGGTGTGCAAGAGGCAGCTGATCGATGTTTCTCTCTCATCAATGTTTCT